CTGTTTGGGTTAAAGTAAGAACTTTAGCTTATTTTTTTAACAAATTTCAAAAATATACTTATTTCTGTACTATGCCTTATCTTTACTATAGAAAACTGCTTAATATAATAAATGTTTTATAGGAATGTAGTTGAGAAATTAATATGTTGTATACCTCTAAACTCCTCATTACCAATTAAATAATAGTCACTATGTGAGTACCTATGTGTGTGTAGACTTACTCTTGTAAAAGATTAATTGATCTGAGAGAGAAGGGAATAAAAAGTAAACTAACACTTATTTCTAGAATTGTCCTTTAGTGGTTTTAGAACCATTATTAGAAACAATATTAGAAATGGTTTTAGGGACAAAGGTGATATAACTCATAAAGTTATATCTGTTGCCAGCTTCTAATGCTAAAATAAAATAAGTTGTTTTAGATATACCTTACAAAATTTAAACTCACTTCCCTTTAATATCCTCTCTGTTCATTATTATTAACTCTTGTTTTTAATATTTCAGTAGCCCTATGACTAATCTCAGCCCCTCTAAAGATCTTACCCACTGTTGCCATTTTAATTTTTATGGATTGTAGCTTTAATCATATCATTCCTCTGTTTAGACCTTCAGTGGCTTCCTATTTGCCATAGCAAAAGTCTGAAAATTCTTAATAATATTTAGCATTTTTGGTGTTCTGTTTCCAAACTTACCATTTCAGCCCCTCTCTGCTCCCTATCCTGTACCGTATTTTCCATGCTCCTATTACCTGTTATCAGCCACTATGCCTTGAACCTCGTTTCCTCTTTTGAACAAGCAGAGCCCACTGCTTGAAATGCCCATTATGCATTTCTGCCTCTGCATGCTCTTTGAAGTCCTAGTGCAAGCTGTGTCTTCTCCACAAAGCCTGAGAGAGTCTACGGAAATGGAGTTTTTCAATCTTGATTTTTTTTGTTTGTCCTGGAGAAGGGGTCATGCTTCAGTGACCCAAACATCAAATTGCTATCTGTACTCTACCTTCTGTTTCTCCAGTGCTGGCAAAGTCATGGCCATGGCTGGGGCTGGGACATGAGTTAGACTTTGGCTTTACTGATGAAAACTCCTAGACACATAACACAGTTAAAGTAGATCCTAAAAAAATGGGGAAAGACAAATTTAATTCCTATGGGGAAAAAAGAAAAAAAATTCATTCTACATTCACCAGTCCTCATTTCCCATTCTTCACTGAATAGATTAGGTATTATTTGTTCTTAAGAGCAAGAAAACCACCTTCCTCAATATTTCAGTTGATTTTCCTAAAGCCAAATGGAAATGTTTTGAAAGAAAGTGATGAAAATCATTTTAAGTTGTTGGACATAGTGATAGAACTATGTTTTAAAAAGGAGAAAAACTGCTAAGCTGTATTTGGAAACTTTATTTTACAGAATGAAAAATCTAAATGCTGCTATAAATAAAAGACAACGTTAACAGCGCCTTCTTGATTAAATTCCTGCGAAATATTTTTCTTTAGCTTTTGATGTCACATTAATATTAGAATGCTGTGTAATAAAAATGAATTAAATCAATGTCTTTTCTTTCTTTTTTGGTTATATGTTCGCTTATGCCTAAAATTAGAATTTTAAAATTATCTGTTAGAATAAAGTTAACAACATAAATAAGTGAAGTGGGAGAGAATGTAAATATACTAACCATAAGTATTAACATGGTTATAGTTGAACTCTCGAGTTTCCTGATAACCAGGGCAAAAGGGGAAATAAAATAAATTAGTTGTTATTATTAGGAGGAGGAAATAGACCCGTTACTCAGGAAAGAAAAAGCTCTGCTTGCTTCTAAATTAAAACAGAAGTTACGAGAGAGTCGGTGAGTGAGTGGGAAAAAAACAAAAACAGAGGTAATACTCCCATGGGGCTTGTAAGGCCGCTCATTGATTTAATTCCAAGTGCTTTCAACATTTCATAGCAAATCAGAGAAGCAGATTTGATGTTAATATTATTGCTGCTTGTAGTCATCTTCAATAAAAAGCCACAGGTATAAGCAATTCCATGAGGACACATGTCCAAATGTGTAGTTTTCAATAGCTCCCTATAGTTGCTTCTAAATTAAAACAGAAGTTACGAGAGAGTCGGTGAGTGAGTGGGAAAAAAACAAAAACAGAGGTTACTCCCATGGGGCTTGTAAGGCTGCTCATTGATTTAATTCCAAGTGCTTTCAACATTTCATAGCAAATCAGAGAAGCAGATTTGATATTAATATTATTGCTGCTTATAGTCATCTTCAATAAAAAGCCACAGGTATAAGCAATTCCATGAGGACACATGTCCAAATGTGTAGTTTTCAATAGCTCCCTATAGTTGCTTCGAGTTAATTCTTAGAGATCTTTAGTTTTAATCTATTTTAGTTATATTTATTAAAGAACATTTCATCTCTTAATTTAGTCTTAATTATATGGTCAGTCTCTGATACTAGGGAACTGTCCACAAGGTAAAAAAGTGTTATAGAATTTAGAGTTACAATCAAGGCTTTGGTGCATCTGCCCCAGTCCTTGCCTCAGAATTGGCTGGTGAGTCCGTGAACTCTCACATTAACTCTAGCTAAGGGTAGAGAAAAACTTCATCAGGCTTTGAAAAACCAAAAGTTGAAGTTCTAAATAATTCTTATTGTTTGCCCCTGATACCATATCTACTAAAACGGCAGTCTTTATCCTGTTCTAGGACAGCAACCCTTTTGATGCCACTGCAGGATACCGTAGTCTGACCTATGAGGAGGTCCTACAGGAGCTAGTGAAACACAAAGAACTCCTTAGGAGGAAAGACACCCACATCCGGGAACTCGAGGACTACATCGACAACCTCCTTGTAAGGGTGATGGAAGAAACGCCCAGTATTCTCAGAGTGCCATACGAGCCATCCAGGAAAGCTGGCAAGTTCTCCAATAGTTAATAAAGCCAGTTGTACTGCATTATAATTGGAAAAAAGAGAGAGAAAGAAGGAAAAACTTGTTACTAAAAGAGACTACACTATGAGGTTTCATTTCATACTCTCCTTCATTGTGAAAAATAGTTTTACCCGTAAATATTATTAAATAGCAGGGACTATCAGGAGTGACCTTTGAAGCAAGCTAAATTAAAAATGGGCCAGATTCTCGATGAATAAGCAGTTCCTTAGGATTCACTTAGGTGCTGGTGCTGGCCCACTAATCTGCCATAGGCCTAGAAATAAATTTAGAAGTACATGAGTTATTCCTCAGGAATAGATTTTTCATAAAGCAGAACTGATACTGTGGTTGGTTTCTCAGAAGTCAATTTGTAGACATATTTAGTGTCAGAAATATTGCTCATGATAAACGCTACTGAAAATACAGTTCATATTTTATATACATATATATGTACATGAATATATGTTCATGTATCTTGTATATAAAATACAGGCATATACCTCATATATACATGTGTTTTTAGAACATTTAAAAACAACTGGTTGCCTCTAAGGTTAGGATACCAGTTTCTTAATTTGAAAATGTATGTGTGCTCTATCAACGCAAGACAAGTCATCATCGTTATTACTATTATGGTTTGTTACAGAGAAGCTGCTTCAAATCACTCTTGACTATGTGAACCTTGGTTTCAAAGTGAGCTGCTAGGTATTACGCCAGCATCAAATTTTTGCTCTTTTCCCAAAAGTAATGCTCTAAAGTCCTTTTTTAAAAGAATAACAAATTTTAGGAACTTTCATTAACTTCACAACAGCATTAATTATCTCAACATTTGAGTTTTGTTTAAGGTATAAGCAGAAGATAAGCTAATGCAATTTGTTCTGTTGGAATTCTGCATGCCTTTAAGTCACTAGCAAAGAAAATATTGTGAAGTTATATCTGAAAATAATTTTGGGGAAAGAAGAGTAGGTGATTGTCTGGTGCCTGATACCCCAAAGCAGTAGGCAAATTCTAGACGTGAAGAATTAGGTTGTGTTTCAAGTTACATCAATAATAGAGCAGATGGTTGCTTTTGGGTCTTGAACCAAAATAAGACTTAACTAAAGGCAGTGAGTGAGTTTTTAGAGCAGATCTTTGCTAGGATGGCATTATACGTTACTCTACCATCCAGCCTTTAAGAGTTGACTTACTATAAAATTATGCCTTTTTTTAAAGTCCACTCCTCAAAAATGTTGATCCTTTCCATAGATTATGTATGCGTACAAAATTATTCTGAAATTTAAATTGAAAAGCAGTGATATAAAAATGTTAATATTCTGCTCATTTTTCAGCCTTGAAAATCTAAAATATTTACTGTGAAACACAGAGTATCTGTGTCTTTCTGAGTTTAAAATGAAAAATTCATCTCCACATGGAGAATCGTATTCCCCCCAATCCTTTATTAAATTGTATTTTCTTCTAATGTTTATCTCTCTTAAGACTTCATTTAAGGTTAAATAAAACCCAGATATAA